ACCCCCGCCCCTAGGCCGGCAGCAAGGTGCCCTGCGCGCTGTCCGGCTCCAGCTCCAGCACAGATCTGCCTGACTTTAATTTTGGAGCTGGCGGCCACAGGCCCCTTGATGCTCAGGGAAAAACTGACTTTAGGGATGGGCACCACGCACCTCCCCTTTTCCTCCTTCTTCAGCCAAGCTCAAGCAGTTCAGGCAACCCCGCTGCAAAAAGGCGAAGTGTAGAGGGGCGAAAAGACCCTAAAATTGTTGCTTGGACCACGAAAACCCCTCACCCACCCATCTAACCCCCTCGGTGAGGCACGGTGGCTCCTTCGCTGACCATGTGTGAGGCAGGGAGAGGCAAGCGGACCGGGGCCGCGGGGCCGGTTCCGATGAATCAGGCAGCGGTTCCTCGCCGGGATGAGCGGCCAAGGCTGAGCTTGGTGGGGAGCGGCCAGTGGCAATGTAAACACGTCCCGGGGAGCGAAGGGCACGGGGCCGGCTGTCGCAGCATCGCCCGTGGGGTGTGACAGACCCCACACACCACGCTGGGAGCCCTTCTGCCACGATGGTCCCCACACAAGGAGGGAGAGCAACACCCCAAGCTCAGCAGGGAGGCCGGGAGCTCCCCGCAGGGCTGTTCCCCACTCAAAGCTTCACACTGGGCGTGCGCTGAGAGAAGAAGATGGGGGAGAGGCATGGAGCCGAGCGCCGGACGTCGCTGCGGGAGCTGTCACCCCGAGGCCAGCATCTGGGACGCCTCTGTGTCACAGGGGGGAGAGATGCGGCTGCCAAGGGCCGCGACTAGGATGATCAGAAGCGTGGCTGGTTGATTTTTCCCTTCTTTATCCTTTTGCTGGGTGTGTCTCCTGCTTCTGATCTGGGTCCCAATCAGTGGGATAAGGGCAGAGGCTCACCACGGTGCTGCATCCACGAGAAACGGGGCTCAGAGTGGGACCTCAAAAACAGCCCAGGCAGCGGCCCCACAAATTACCCACTCCTGACCCAAAGAGGCAGCAATGAAAAAATAACAATACAGGACGTGGGCGGCTTTGTAACCGGAATGAGCGTGCTTTAAATCCTTTAATAAGGATTCGTCGGAGGGAAAGCTGGTGCCAGCAGCCGGGATAACTCCAGCTCTGGCAGCAAGAGGTCTCCCCTTTTATATTGCTGGTTTTTGGAAACGGGCTGGAGTGGGATAGCTGTGCGCTCCTACAGCGGTCCTCGAACCGAACTGAAGGAAAAGCATTTGCCAAGAAGGTTTTTCGCTAATCAGGGCAGATCCAAGGCGATAAGATCCCATCATCATTGCTTCAACCACAAGCGACGCTGAGCCGCGACCGAGAGGCGTTGTTCCCGTGCCGATATTTTTGGGTGTCAGCGAAGCACGGTCACAAAGGGAGGCAGGAGCAGAGCTGCTCTCTCCTACCTGCTCTCAGAGATCAGCCAGGCTTGGACCTACCCACTCCTAAACCCTCGCTCAGGCTCAAGCCGAGCTCTCACTGCAGGAGGAATTATTAGATCACCTAAATCTCAGCACAACCCCCCCGAAATGTCCCCGATGGTGGCAGGACGCAGCAAACAGCCCGGCTCTCGCAATGCGCCCAGATCGCCGCCGGGCAAGTGTAACGGGAGCCAGAGGAGAGAGTGGGGTCACGCACGGCTGAGGGTCGGCCTGGCATCACCCGGCACAGCTGCTCCACAGCCGGGCTCCTTATTTCACCCCGGTCCGGACGCAGGCAGCCAGTCCCGTGCCGGCAGGAGCTGTGGGAAGCTGGGGAGGGCAGGAGGGTCCCCTGCCTGGTCTGGCAAAGCCCTGAGTGAGGACCCCGGGCAGGTCAAATCCCGCCTTGGAGCTAACGCAGCCTTTCCTGCTCCGGGTGGGCTCAGCCTCCAGCGAGCCCAGGTCCCGCTCCTCCTCCCAGCCTTCCGACCGCTCTCACTTTTAGGTGCCCCGATGCCGTGAGTGGGAAGCAGAGCAGGGATGGGGGCCGACACCAAGCAGCACTCGCCGTTCCCAGTGGCGGGGAAGGGCTCAGAGGAGGGAGCCAAGCCCAAACCAGGGAGCTGAGCAATTTTCCAGCAGCTATTCAAGGGCCTCCGGGGCCGATAATTAAAAACAAGGAGCAAGTAAACACTCCCAAAGTGTTTCTCGAGGCTGGCGCTGGGCACAGGCTGCTCCACCACCAATAAAGCAGAGGCTCTTCCTCCCCGGCGCAGCGCCTTTACACGCCAAACCCCGGAAGCCCGGGTGGTTGCGGGCATCGAGCAGCTGCCCTCGGTTTGGTGCCGCGCTGCCCGACCCCAGCACCGCAGTGGTGTGTTCCCAGGTGCCCGGTCCCCTCCGGATCGTGACCACCCAAACCTTGGGGACCTGAGGCAGCCCTGGCATGGGCAGCTCCAGCCCTGGAGGGCAAAACTCCCCAGAGTTTTGCTTCTGGCATCTGCCAGCCTCCTCCGAGGGGAAGAAAGTAGCATCCCAGGGAAGCAGCGGCACCCCCCTGACCCCCTCACCCTTTTTGAACTCCTCCAGCATGGCATCCAGCTTGGTGTCATGGAAGACAACGTGGACGGGGTGGTTGTAGAATTTAGTGATAGTTTTGAGGGGGGTGCAGTCGTCGGGGTCAACGAAAGCCAGGTCCTTGACGTAGAGGATGTCCATAATGTTGGAACGCTCGTCCTCATAGACGGGAATGCGGGTGTAGCCGCTCTCCATGATCTCCGACATGGTGTTGAAGTCCAGGATGGCGTCGCTGTTGATCATGAAGCAGTTCTGCAGCGGGGTCATCACGTCCTCCACCGTCTTGGTGCGGAGCTCCAGGGCTCCCTGGATCATGTTGAGCTCTTCCCTCACCAGGTCATTGTAGGGCTCCGTCACCTTCAACATCTCCACCAGCTTCTCCCGGTTGTAGACGGTGCCGATCTCCTGGCCCAGGATGCAGTCCAGGAGCTTGCTGATGGGGTAGGAGAGGGGGAACGTCACCAGCATGAAGAACTTGGTGACCACGATGGTGTTGGCGCCCACGGCCAGGCCGTGGCGGGAGCAGAGCGCCTGGGGCACGATCTCCCCGAAGATGACGATGCCGATGGTGGAAGCGACGACGGCGCCGATGCCGGAGCCGATGAGGTCATCGAGGAGGATGGTGAGGGTGGTGTTAACCAGCACGTTACCCAGCAGCAGTGAACAGAGCAAATAGTTCCCCTTACGGCGGATGGGTTCGATCTTACGGGCGTAACGCTTCTCCTTATCGGTGCCGCAGTTCTGCACGATGCGCAGCTCCATGGGATCCAGCGCCATGAGGCCCAGGTTGAGCCCGCTGAACATCCCCGACAGCACCAGCAGCCCGGCGATGAGGATCACCTGCAACCAAAGGGGCAACAGCGACTTCTTCTCCTCCAGCACCACGATGCGTCCGTCGGGGCCTTGATGGGGCAACCAGGGTTGGCCGGGGCGGCGCTGGGTGCAGAGGACGTAGGTC